TCTCTCGAGGTTTAACCCGTTAATTGGGACTATCATTTCTCATGAGTCCATCCTAATTCCTTGTTGGGTCAATTTTGGGGCCATAGACTCTCTTTTTCAAGAAGAATTAAACCCACAAAGCTTGAATCAGTATTTGCAACCACCAATTCTAGATTAAAACATAAAATCAACCCAAATAGCAAACATCCATAGTCAATCTAACACTAGATGGCAACACCCATCAATTACCCACACTAAGGTTGAGCCACAACCCTAGCTAATGGGTTTAGCTACTCATGCTAGGTAAAAAATTTGAAGAAATAGATGAAGAACTAAACATATTAATTAATTGCTAAAATTAAACTACAAGAATCTATCGTAAATGTAAAGTAAAAGTGCCAAAAATGGCTACAAATATCGTTCTCAGGAGCGCAGCTCACGTTTGAATACAAAAGATGACCTAAAAATGGTCAAATGTTCTATTTATACTAGGCTGAAAAAACTGGACAAAAATACCCCCGCGGGGTCAGTGCGGGTCGCACTAAATGGAGCGCGGCCGCACTGGGCTCTTTGACTTTGACTTTTGCTTCTCTGAACTTGGACTCCGCGGACCGCGTAGAATGGATTGCGATCGCGGACCGCATGGCATTGGCTTTGCAAACTTTCATCTCTCTGAATCTCATGACCACGGACCGCACAAAAGAGTAGTGCGGCCGCGGAGCATTCACCGCGGACCGCGAGATGTGTACCGCGGTCGCGTTACCTCTAGCCTGGTTTACCAACTCTCTGAACCACCTAGTGCGGCCGCATTCAACTTTGCGTGGTCCGCACTAGGCTTTCTTTCCTTAGATTTCTTGGTCTTTGATACTTGAGCAGGTTTCACTCCTTTTTGATCCGATCTTTGACATTTTGTCACTTTGTCGATCAAACCTGCAATCAAGCACAACCTGTGAGCCTTTTAGGACTATTTTGTAACAATATATGATCAAAGCATAGGCAAGTAAGGGCATAAAACATGTTAAAATCCTAACTTATCATATATCCACTTGTGGATTTTGAATCAGTTGAACCGGTGAACCAATTAGCATCACAATATCCCTTAATCACCGCAAGATACTTATTTTAGTGCAAAGCAAAGTCCTGGGTCTGTTCTAAATATCCCAAAACTAGTTTCATTTCCATCCAATGAGATTGACCTGGATTACGCGTGTATTTGCTCAATTTACTTATAGCACAAGCTATATGTGGCCGTGTACAATTCATGATATACATTAAACATCCCAACACATGAGCATAATCTAATTGTGATATGCTTTGGCCTTTGTTCTTTGCTAGCGCAAGATTCACGTCAATTGAAGTCTTTGCAACTTTAAAATCTAAGTGCTTGAATTTTTCGAGTACCGTTTTAATATAATGAGATTGTGACATGCCAGACCTTGAGGAATCTTATGGATCTTAATACCCATAATTAAATCGGCAACTCCCAAGTCCTTCATATCAAACTTGCTAGTTAGCATACGCTTAGTCGCATTTATGTTGGCAATGTCATTACTCATTATTAGCATATCATCCACATATAAGAAAACAATGACTATGTGATTTGGAACATTTTTAATGTACACACATTTATCACATTCATTTATCTTAAAATCATTTGACAACATTGTTTGGTCAAATTTCGCATGCCATTGTTTGGGTGCTTGTTTTNACGTCAATTGAAGTCTTTGCAACTTTAAAATCTAAGTGCTTGAATTTTTCGAGTACCGTTTTAATATAATGAGATTGTGACATGCCAGACCTTGAGGAATCTTATGGATCTTAATACCCATAATTAAATCGGCAACTCCCAAGTCCTTCATATCAAACTTGCTAGTTAGCATACGCTTAGTCGCATTTATGTTGGCAATGTCATTACTCATTATTAGCATATCATCCACATATAAGAAAACAATGACTATGTGATTTGGAACATTTTTAATGTACACACATTTATCACATTCATTTATCTTAAAATCATTTGACAACATTGTTTGGTCAAATTTCGCATGCCATTGTTTGAGTGTGTGTTTTAATCCGTAAAGGGACTTAACAAGTCTACATAATTTCTTTTCTTTACCTAGAACCACAAACCCTTCAGTTTTTTTTATGTAAATTTCTTCCTCCAAATCTCCATTTAAGAAGACCGTCATAACGTCCATTTGATGAATTTCAAGATCATAAACCGCAGCTAATACTACTAACGTTCGTATGGACGTAATTCTTGTAACTAGAGAGTATATATTAAAATAGTCAAGACCTTCTCGTTGTCTATACCCTTTAACCACAAATCTTGCCTTATATTTATCGATAGTGCCATCATCTTTTATTTTCCAATTAAAAATCCATTTAGAACCAAACGGTTTATTTCCAGGAGGAAGATCAACCAATTCCCATGTATGGTTGTTCAATGTAGATTCTATTTCACTATTGACTACCTCTTTCCAAAATAATGATTCCGAAGAAGACATAGCTTCTTTAAATATTGAGGCTTATTTTCCAATAAGAAAGTCCAAAATCTGGTCCAAATAAAGTAGATGTTCTTTGACGTTTACTATGTCTTGGATCTTCTTGATTAAACATACTATCTTTTATTTTTTCCCGAGGTCGTTTAGATCCTTCACCAATCGACTCACATTCTTTTTTATATGGATATATATTTTCGAAAAACTTAGCATTATCTGATTCTATAACCATATTATTATGAATGTCAGGATTTTCTGATTTATGAACCAGAAATCGATATGCTTTACTATTGGTCGCATATCCTATAAAAATACAATCAACGATTTTCGGTCATATTTTTACCTTTTTGGGTTTAGGAACTTGCATTTTTGCCAAATATCCCACATTTTAAACTAATTCAAGTTGGGCTTCCTTCCTTTCCATTTTTCATATGGAACGGATTGCGTTTTGCTATGGGGTACTCGATTTAGTATCCAGTTAGCCGTAAGAATGGCTTTGCCTCACAAGTTTTGTGGCAAACCAAAACTTATCAACAATGTGTTCATCATCTCATTTAATGAACGATTCTTTCTTTCCGCAATCACATTGGATTAGGGTGTGTAAGGGGCCATTGTTTAATGAATACTTCTATATTCTAAACATATTTCTTCAAAAGGAGATTCATATTCACCACCCCTATCACTTCTTATGATTTTCTTTTTAAGTTGCGTTTCAACTTTATTTTTGTATTGCTTGAATGCATCTATTGCTTCATCTTTACTATTAAGTAAGTAAACATAGCAATATTGAGTACTGTCATCAATAAAAGTTATAAAATACTTCTTTCCACTGCGAGATGATATTGACTTCATATTGCAAATATCTGTGTGAATTAAGTCTAAAGGATTTGAATTTCTTTCGACTGACTTATAAGGATGTTTAACATACTTAGATTCCACACATATTTGACATTTTGATTTGTCGAATTCAAACTTCGGCAATACTTCTAAATTAATTATTTTTTGCAAGGTTTTATAATTGACATGTCCCAAACGTATATGCCATATTTGACTCGAGTAAGTAAGAAGAAACTGAAATTTTATTATTCTCAACGTTCATTATGTTCAGTTTGAAAAGGCCCTCAGTGAGGTAACCTTTTCCTACAAACATCTCGTTCTTACTTATTACAACCTTATCAGATACAAAAATACACTTAAACTTGTTCTTAATGAGAAGTGCAGTAGAGACAAAGTTCTTTCTAATCTCAGGAATTGAAGGACGTTGTTCATAGTCACCACATTGTCAAAAGTCATTTTCAGAAATATCTTGCCACACCCTTCAATTTTGGCCGTTGCAAAATTTCTCATAGAAAGCGTCTCTTCGGGTCCAATGGGAGCATATATAGCAAAGGCTTCTCTAATAGTACAAACATGGCGAATGGCTCCAGAATCAATCCACCACTCCTTAGAAGTTCCCACCAGGTTGCATTCAGAAAGCATAGCACACAAGTCATCAATATCTTCGTGCTTTTCAACCATGTTTGCTTGACTCTTCTTCTTGTCTTTTCTTGGATCACGACAATCCGCAGATTTGTGTCCAGATTTCCCACAGTTTTAGCAATTTCCTTTGAACCGCTTCTTGCTTGGGTTGCTTTTTGGTCCAGAAGCCTTCTTCCTCTTTTTATTATTTTGAGGAGCACCCTCAACAATATTTGCTCCTATTATTGTTGAGTTTCCACGACCTTTCTTTTCAGCAGCTTTGTTGTCCTCTTCGATCCTCAACCGAACAATGAAATCTTCAAGCGAAATCTCGTTGCGTTTGTATTTCAAGCAATTTTTGAAGTCCTTCCACAAAGGAGGCAACTTCTCAATCATTGCTGCAACTTGGAATGCCTCATTTATGACAAGACCTTCAATGAAAATTTTATTAGTAATAATAGTATAATTAATACTTTAAGCATAAGTATTAATTCGACTTATATCTTCAACAAGGAGATCGTGAATAATCACTTGCAATTTCTGGCTTGGGTAATGATAGACTTGGTATCTACCATTTATAGTCCAAAAATTTTGCGGCAACAAATTTCTTCGACCCGACATCCTCAGTTTTTTATTTCTTTTCAATCGCAATCCACAGTTCCTTTGACGTCTCCACATTACTACAGACGTTATACAGATCGTCCTCCAGTCCGCTAAGAATGTAATTCGCACAAAAAATTAGAATACTTTCACGCCTCAGTCACGAGAAAGCGTTCCCATTCACTCTTTATTTTAAGTTAACCAAGGTTAAACCCAACAGCATGTATCACGATCATGAAGTTATATTTTGTCAATGATAAGATTTATGTATTATTGTAGTTTATTTAAAACTACAAGTGTTCACGATACATAAATGATTTGTAGTTAAGTTTGAGTGGTTAAGTGACAAATCTAATAATTTTGATTACCAAAAAAAGGAATATTTGGACTTCTCTCTTTATGAAAATGAAGTGATATTTTCACTCTCTCTTATCCGCAGCACACAGCCGTGAAATAAGGCGTCTCGAGATGAGCAGGCTTGCTGTATGCGGCCCTTCGGCGAGCCTATTACCCATTCAAAGCCCCTGCTCCTCTTCCAGTACCTCTATTTGCCATTGGGCTCCGCGTTTAAGGAGGAAGGCGCATTTGAGAAGAAAGGCGACAGTATTCTGCTCGGCAGATGAAGTGGATTTCAAGGTGCTCACCTCTGTCACAAGTAGTTATAATAACATAGTTATCCTCGACACTCCCGACTCACGTGTGCTGCTTCTTGACTCTTCCAGTATGTGAGATAGCATTTTGTCAAATGATTGTCATTCCGTGACTTAATGTTTTCTAAGGATTTTATGGCTTATTTTGCTGGGGACAGATAATGTGCATAGCATTCTTCACAAGGGAAAGAAATGGACTGATGCATATTGGGTATGCCATTGCTTCGTCTTCTTTTTATTGCCTTTTTATTAATATCTATATTCTTCTCATAGTTGTCTAATTCACACATTATTTAAATCAAAATGTGTGGTGAGCATGTGTGTGGACCCAATAACATGTACGGTAGACTGTATATAGCACTCCCTTGGGTACGGCCTTTCCCGCAGGCGCGGAGCTAGAGTGTCGGGAGAGGGTTCGGCCGAACCCAGTAATTTTGGTTTGAACCTGTATTTGTCTTTAAAAATCTATTAAATAGGTATAAATTATATTAATTTAGAATCAATAACTTAAAACGATTAGAATTCCGATTAGAATCCCGAACCCATAAGCTTGAAATCCTAGCTCTGCCTCTGCTTCCCCGGACCCTCGTGAATGCGGGATGCTTTGTGCACGTGCCTCCACTTTATTTGTTTAACTACTAGATGCTTCATAAAATAGTTATTTTGTTTATACTGCTCAGTTTTCTGAGTTTTGCGTTCAGATGATGTGAACCAGTGCACAATGTTCTTGTAAACATTTCAGGACATCACAAGACGAAAACAAATCCTATGTGCAGCTGAAAATAGCTGACTAATTTAGTCGATCCAGTATAGGCAGGCAACTTTCCGCAGAATTGTACATTTCTCTTGTATGGTTTATTGTTATTGATACTGAATGTTGACCTTACAATGCTTATGTAGTGCATTCAACTCCCTAATGTGGTACAATTTCTTCTATTTGATTACAGGATGAGTTTGCCACCTTGCCGGCCATTGTTCCAAGGGGTCCCATCGCTATTTTTGGCCTGGTAATTTAGGTTCTTTTAATGATTTTTGATTTTTGACAAAACATATCGCTAATACATCAACTTTTCTTAACAAATGCAAGTTTGAAATCTTACCGTCTCTATATGCGGGATTAAACTGATCTACAGCTACTTCCTGCTAATTTACAGGGGGGCGCAACTGCTGCACATTTGATGCTTGAACTATGGCCTTCTTTGCAGCTTGTTGGATGGGAGATAGATGAAATTGTAATAACCTTTCCTTATCATTTCCTAGCTTTTGTCTTTTATAGAGCATATTTATATTTTGATATTTCATATGCAATTTTTTCACTAGCATATCTTGAACCTTGGTGCATTGCAAGAAAGACAAAGAAAATATAAATCTAGAGGATTTCAATGCTATGATACTTGCTTATGTTTTTTTCATGAGTACCAAGTCATTCCAATTGATCCAAAAAAAAGAATTTGAGTACTGCGTCATTCACAACTTTCCAGAGTCTTGAATTAGTCTTATATTATTTTGTCAAGGAAACGCCTCTGTTACATCAGCTATTTTGTTGATAATCAAAACCATGGAAAGCAGAGAGGAAAGTGACATGAAAGCCTAACTTCATGCTTTTTTATTTGAATAAGAACCCTCTCCTTTACACTAAGATGCATCCTGTAGAGCCAGTAGCAAAAAGTGCAGAACTTATGGAAAACAATCTATGTACTATGCAGATATGGGCATAGGCATACCGCTCCATTCAAAAAGAGTAGAATGATATTGAAGTTTAGGCAATTACAAGAATTCTAAGTATTACGAGAACGATCTTTGGTTTGGGGAAAAAAGGTATGGATATGCATACTCTTTGCAACAAGCTTAGCCAATGAGAGTGACTTGTTTAACCTCCTTGTTGTAGTCAATAAAAGGACACTTCATAGGGTCTGTGACTTGGCAATGGTGAGCATCAATCAACGGAACACTAAAGGCCTTAGCTTTTGCGAATTAATATTTCCAAAACCAAAACAGGAAATATAAGAATAAAATTATTTCCTTGGGTAGACATTAGAATACGACCAGAGGCAGGATAAAGAAAATCATTGCTATCAGTTTGAAATTCAAAATTTTAACAGGTCTGTAGTAACTTTCCAGCAGATTCACCAAGTGTGGCAATTGAAACTGATCTCTATTGTATTTAGGAGTTGAACTTTTACAAAATCATATGAGCATGTGTTGCATACTAGAAATTGCTTTGGGGTTTATATCCATTTTTGGCAGCTCTTGTCATTCGTCAAGCTACTTGATGCCATTCAGTTTTAATTTTTTCTTCTCTAACTTATGTGGAAGTTATGTAGTGATTTTAGTAACTGAAAGTTGCATGGAGCTCCAGAGTTGATTGTCATATAAATGACACAGACCTCTAGTGATTCGTGTTACACATCTCTGAGGAGGAAATTATGCCTAGAACCGCCTCTAATTTAGAGTCACAACATATGATGAATTAGAAAATACCTAGTGACACCCTTGAAAATACATGTGCATTTATGGTGCTTCTGTACTTCAAAAGAGCACCAAAAGAAAAAGAAAAAAAAAAAAAGATTCAAAGTTTGTTGGAGTTTTAAGTTCAAAGCGCAACTAAAGCATGAACTTTGATGAAAATATTACAAAGGAAGAAATACATGTGTAATGCATGAATAATTTATTTTCTCCAGTGCATGAACAGATTACTAACAAAAACAACAATAATATTGAAAGGGAACTTTTAAAACCGCTCTCACTAAGTGAAATGCTTATTGTCCAATGTCACCCTCTTCAACATAGAATCCATGGTCGATGATGCACATGTTTTATCGCCTTGGTGCCTGCACGAAAGAGCCTCTAAGCGAGTGGAGCATCAAGCCTGTCTTGCTCCTAGTTTGAGGAATTTAGCACTCCTCAGCAGCAATACTGGTCGTTCGTAATTTATCTGCTGGATTTTAACCTTTTACAAATTTCCGTGCAGCCTGTTTTGCACCTAGTTTGAGGAATTTAGCACTCAGAAGCAGTATTGGTTTTTCGTCATTTATTTGTTGGGTTTTAATCTTTTAGAAATTCCGTGCATTTTATGTCGTTGAATTCTTGATTGAGGCTAGGCTACTGACATGTGCTAGTGCAGAAAATATACCTATGGCAAAAGAAATTGCACAAGTTATGAAAATTTTAGAATTCATTGGGACTAGAAAAGGGAAAAGAAGAAGAGACAAAACTCTTATTTGAAGTTTGTTGGTTAAAAACATAGTACTAGAGAGCTGTTTATATAGGAGTTTTTACTTTTTCGTAACATGAAAAAGAAAGCTTCCTAATTCGTAGGATTCTAATTATTATGACATAGTCATTAAGTTTACTTTATATTTTTTCTTATTATTTTGACTTTCAACATTCCCCTTAAAATCAAGATGGTGAAGCAACTTTAGTTCGCCCATTTCTAAGATAAGAAATATTAAAATCGGAACAGTAAACAATCGTCCAGATAGTGTCGTTAGAATATAAACAATCACCAGAAAGAATCTACTCTCAATCATTGAAGAAATGTGCTGTTGGACAAATCTCCTTGATATCATTGAACTAGCTTGAACTGGTGGCCAAGCAACAATTGGAAAAGTCACCAGAACAGTGATCGGAAAAATTTCTGGAAAAGTTGTAGGAAATAGTGACCATACAAGTGGTGCGGTCAAAATATCTAATTTGGAATTGCCACCTGAAAGAGGTAGTGCACCGCAGGAACAGCCACCAGAATACAAAATTTTAAATTATTCTCTTTATTCTCAATAATAACATGATCATCTAGAATGTTTTACACAATATTCTTAATCTTTCATACATATTTAGTTCGGAATTTTTTGTTTTAGAAATTGATCCAATAACTTGGAGTTCAAGGAGTTTAATACTGTTGAGAAAAAGGAGCTTAATAATGTCATCTGACATTTAAAACTGAATTATTCAAGTCATTGTCCAATTCACCATGTTTGATTTGTGAAAATGAGTTACAAAATGTTTTTTCTCATTCATTCCAGTTGATTGAAAAAGCAAGAGAATATCTTGGGCTCTCTGATCTGGAGAAACATAATGAAGGTGGCGGTGTATTGGAAGTTCATATTGGAGATGTATTTTCTCCATCTGTTACTATTCCTGGAGGTTATGCAGGTATATCACTGCCTTAATCAAATGGAAGAATTTAAGAATGTAACCCCTAGTCAACCTTTTAATTGCTTTATGATGGAAGGGAAGTTCTTATCCTCCAGTAAATGATTGTTCTTCCATCTGGTTCCTGCACTTGAAGCGTTTGAAATAATTTTCTTCTGTGGAAGCCTCTTCCCTGATTTATCAACTTTTAACTTGTTTTGCTATGCATAAGAAGTGAGCATTTGAAATATTGACATTGAAACATTCTGGGTTTGACTTCTATCCAGTGTTTACTTAATTCTCCAAAATGATAATTTCAGGTATAATAGTTGATTTGTTTTCTGATGGAAAGGTTTTGCCCCAACTGCAAGAGGTATGCTCAAGTGCACAATTTTGATAGTCATGCATTTTGTAGTATTGCTATCTTTACAGTACAATGCTTGCTTATCTTCTCATAAACTAATGTTGTTGATAATAGTATCTCTTTTTTGGAATAATCTCATGTTGATTTTCTTTTTGGCTGCTAATAGAGTTGATATTTGAGTCAATCCTTTGGCACCCAATTGGGAGTGTGGTATTCTGGATAAGTACCTTTTCTGGTAGTTATTTAGAGAAGTACTTTATAAATTCTATAGTAGCATTTCATTGTACCATTATTTTACAAAGTACTTTGTGTTTAATATACAAATTAACTATTTAAATATTCGCTTTGATTTGTCCGGTACCTGTGTCGTTGAGATAGCAGGTGCCCGGTGAAATAGTCGAGGTGCGCACAAGCTTGCCTCAACACCACATTATCAAAAAATAAAAAATCGCTTTGATTTGGTAGTGGGGCAAATTGTCAAATAGTACCTAAATATTAACCAACAGAAGTTTCATAAGCTCCAAATTTGAGCATTTGCCGTACTCATTTGTTGAAAGCTCTACTAGAGATATACACTTTCAACATTTACCAAACACTAGACAAAGGTTCATTTCATGTTGAAAGTGCTAATTTCTCAAGTGCACCTGCAGTGCGACCAGATTGAGTGTGACCTGCAGATCTACTCTCATTTTAATTGAAGTATTAAGTTGCTGGTACTCTTAATTCACCTGCGTGTGCTTTTTTGATTCATAAAATTCACCCTTGTGCATCTATTGATGTCTGGTTCCTGGTGGTAGATTTCTAGGATCTAATGCATTTGTTTTGGCTTTCCTTGACAGGTCACAACTTGGTTGGAGATGAATAAGATGTTGATGCCCAATGGTCGGCTCATGGTGAATTGTGGTGCTGCTACCAAAGAATGGTCTAATACTTCTTCTGAAATGATCCAACCAGAAATTTCCGAAAAGGATGATCCTAGGGAACTAAACGCAACTATCAACGCATTATGCAAGGCATTTCCTGGGCAGGTAGTGTAATTGAATTCCATTTATCTTCCTTAAAGCAGGACGCACATGAAGGCGTGAAGCTTCATCGAGTTATAGGAGCATCTGGAAGAACCAAAGTTTGTAGCTCTTTATTTTCTCAGTAAAAGCAGTATAAATTTTTGTGGCCGCTCTTGGTTTACTAGCTGCCTTTATGTCATTCTTCTTTTAAAAGGTTACCTAGGGTTATGCAACTATGAAAGCAATACTTTAATCCAGTGAATCATGGAGGCTTTTGGAAAGTAATCTCAGCCATTTATAATTCAAAAGTGCCTTTATCAAGATATGCAATTTAATAGAGAAATCATGTTTAGTAATTATGACATACTCTATGTCCTATTTTTAGATATGTAGAGGGGTTGCTCTGATTGTAAGCAACCTCCACTTCCAACCAAGAGGTTGTGAGTTCGAGTCTCCCCAAGAGCAAGGTGAGAAATTCTTGGAGGGAAGGATCCCGAGGGTCTATTTGGAAACAGCCTCTCTACCCCAGGGTAGGGGTAAGGTCTGCGTACACACTACCCTCCCCAGACCCCACTAAATGGGATTATACTGGGTTGTTGTTGTCTATGTCCTATTTATTTTACACAGTGACTTGACTTAGAGATTAAAACATTTTGGTTCACTCGAAAGAAATCAGTTGGTAGATGAAAGTTGAGCGAGTTTGTGAAAATAGTATGGTACATATAATATTCAGAAATTCATCAACAACAACAACAACAAAAACCCCAGTATATTCCCACAAGTGGGGTCTGGGGAGGGTGGTGTGTACGCAGACCTTACCCCTACCTAGTGAAGGTAGAGAGGTTGTTTCCAATACACCCTCGGCTTTGAAAGAGAATTTTCAGAAATTCATCAAACAGCACAAACAATATGGGAGTTTGGTCTTGACCAACTGTTACCATTATCTGTGCACCAGATAGATGGTTTCAGGCACCAAACCCCTGTATCTTTGGTCACGGCACCAGTCCCATCATAATTAACAATGATCACTTGAAACAGCTGTACTGTCTTGAAAAGTTGTCCATCTTTTAGAAGGAATTCTTGACTTTACAAGTTGATCAAGGTATACCGATATGGATGCAATGTAATGGTGTACTCTGTAAATGTGTGATAAATGTCTAGAAATGTGCAATTGCATGGTGCGATATTGCTGGGAATGAGCTTAGGAAAAGGCAGGACTGGTGATTCTGTTTAGTTTATGATAGCTTGCCATGAAACCATTCAGAGGGTTTCAGTGACATTACAATTTCATGGCATATAAATTTTGTTATTTGCTGTGTGCACATTAAGAATATTCTGGTCTTTTGAATGCCACTATGCATTTGGCTCTCTGTCTTGACCTGCTATGACTGATAGTTTATTATCTGAAATGGCAGGTAAGCTGGAAAAAGTTGCCAAAGAGAGCAGGAGAAAATTTTCTTGCGCTGACAGGACCATTACCAGATTTGGCTATTTGGTCTGCTCGTTTCCCGGATCAATTAAGCTCAAGTGTCAAAGAATGGAGAAGTTGCATGCCTTCGTGATTTTTGACATTGGAACTTGATTAAGCTGTCCTTCGTGCCAATAGAAAAGGTCCTTTGCAGCCCCCCGCCCCATTCCCTATTTTCAGCTAGATTCCAAATTTCCAGTAGGTGGGCTGTTTTAACAAATACTATGTCTTCCCGTATAGGAGATCTTCCTTTCCCGGTTTTTATTTTCGTGTAAGTGACTCTTTTATCAGAAGGAAAGCAAAGGGATGCAACCTGTATATATTGGCCCACAGGCAACCATCAGACACTACCTAGTCACCCTTAATCCCTCTGTGAGTAGCCTGTTTCTATCTTGATTTGCAGTAGTCTCCAATCTCTTCAGCTCTCCCTTATGCGTATTAGTATTACGTTATGATTATTACTGAGAGTTTCAACTCTGCTAAAGTTAGGATATACTTTGAGTTGTGACTACGCCATTACCAATCGTGGAACTAGGTGTTCACTCCTCTTGGTAGGCTTCAATCATATAGTTATCTTTATCAAAGTTTGTGATGGTTTAAAACATGAATTGTGCATGCTTAATTCATAGGCAGGCGGTTTTGAAAAATAATTCAGGCAAGATCATTGTTTTTTCAATTTTGGCGGAGAAGAAACTAATGTCTCCTGAAATATAGTTGCAGAAGCGTGTGAGATCTCATCTAAAAGTTTAACCTGTTAGAGATATCATACTTTTATTTACTTAATTATAACACTGTTGAATTGGATTCACACTCATGTGGAGTGCATATTTTTGCTACGACTTTGTGTTTATAAAGTGATGGCTGCTAATATAAGCATTTTGATGCTTAAACATTGTGACAAGATCATAAACAAGTAGCAGCTCAGAAAGCTTCTTATTACCATCACACATTATAACGTAGCAAAGTTTCACACACAGCAAACCATAAGAAAAGGAAAAAGGCTCGCAGACCACAAGCGAATATCAGCCCCTTCCTCAAGTCATCCACACACAGCGTATGAGGAGAAAGAGTACCAAATGCAACTGTAAATTGTTTTTGGTAGTGAGACTGGAAGTCACATTTTCCGAGTCTCCACCTTTATTTTCAAGCACGCAATAGTACAATAAGATAAGCTATTAGAAGTTGGAGCAACATCCTTCCTTCAGCAGGCTAGCGGCGGAAGCTCCTAACCTGGCGTGGTGTCTCAGAACTGTCATCTCCTCGAAGTTTGACGAGCGTATAAACAGCTGCCCCTGCAAGAGCCCCCAGAGTTGGAGCCACTATGTATATCCACAATGACTTGTAATTTCCTGCTGCAACGGCTGGCCCCAAAGTTCTTACTGGATTCATGGAAGCACCACTTGATGGCCTGCTTATTCCAATGTTTCAAAAACACAAAAGGAGTTACTGGAGCTGCTTTGGCAAAGTCTAAGTTATAAGCCTAGCTGAGAATTCTTTACTCATAAGCCTAGCTGAGAATTCTTTACTCGCTGTGCTAGGCATGAAAAGCACAATTGGAGTAAGAGCACTTAGCTCTCTACTTACTGTTTACTTATTTACGGTTGGTTCTGTGCAACATTTTTGTAAGTGAAGAAAGGGCATCAGAATGAAGTTTCTTCCCCAATGCAAGAGCTCATACGATAATACCCGGCGGTTTGTTTGGTAGCTAACCCATATATTAGTAGTTTAGTACTAAGTAGATTTAGTTGATAGATTTAAGTAAACTGTAAAAGCTAAATACTTGGGTGTTGTGACTCAGTGGTGAAGCCAGAAAAGCCAATAAGGGTGTTCAAAATTGTCAGTGAGCTATGCAAGAGTGTGCGAAATCTATATTTTGATCAATAACAAGTAATATTTTATCATGTACACGGTATAACTTTTCGGCGAAGGTCACACATAGCTTCGACCTTGTGAGTATGATGGAGGATTCCATATCAGTACCTTCGGGGATAAAAGATGGCATTTATTTTTTAAGAAAGAAGATGCAACAGAAGCAAGTCCATGTGAGGTACTGTTTTAGCTAGGGAAGGAAATGGTGTTGCAGATGCTTTGGCCAAATTTAGAGGAAATTTGTAAGTCCCACTTGTAACTAAACTGTATTACACAGTCCAGAACCTTCCTAGAGAAGCTAATGGTCCCTTCATGATGGATAAGATGCAGCTCCCAACATTTAGAACTAGGCAGATCAAGGAAAGGGTTGTACGTAATGTTTTGTAAGTTGATCATATTACATCTCACCTGTAGTATTACGGAGAAGTCATACTTAGGCATTTTTTGGCCTTCAACTCCTACTGTATGTGGCCTTGATAGGAAGGTATGGGAATTGAGAATTAGGGTAGAAGGTTAGCAAGTAGTCGAGCATATTTCTGTTCTATACCGGGAGTACTAGGGTTAATTTGGTAGTGTCTTGTTCTTAGATTGCTAGTATTACATATGATACTGTCCTACTATCTTCTACTTCGGCTTCCTAGTATTTTGCTGTTACTGTTTGTTGCTATTGATTTCTTCCATCTATCTTCTGGTTCTTAGATTGTTGTTATTATCTTTTTTGGCATTTGTTGTTGATATGGCTTGTTTCTATTGTTTCTTTTTATTTTTCTTGAGGTGAGGATCTATCGAAAACAGCTTCTTTACCTTCCCAGGATAAGGATCAGGATAAGGATAGGGATAAGGTCTGCTAGACCCAACTTGTAAGATTTTACTGAGTTTGTTGTTGTTGTTGCAACTCCTAGTGAACATATTAGGAATAGGAGTTGACACAGTTTGTATTACGGGAGGCAATACTTTAATCTCTACGTTAGAATCTAAGACAATTTCTAAGTTAGTTACTAAAGTTAGTTGGCCATATTTTTTACATAATTCAGCCTGTCCAATTGATGACAGTCAGGATTTGAGGAGGAAAGCTGGCATTCCAGGGGCCTCCTTAATATTTCACTTTTTGGTTATTAAGCAACTCAAGCAAGCTTACATTAAAAAAAAAAAAAGTATAGTAATAAATAAATAAAGAACACTTGGGTGTTGAGATATTTACTTACCCAGCCACTAGAATATTGAGCATGACTGTAGCTCCAACTGCAATGCCCGCCAACTCTCCCACCTATTTAATATTAAGATTTGTATCGTCAGAAAAAAGAAAACCAAAGGAATATGTATTTATTAGAATAGGAAGAGGAAGGAAAGAAGAAAAAACAAAAAGTTCATGCAATCTTGCCAAGTATAGTCTTTCTCGACTAGACCATTGAAGTAATTATCCTAGCTCTCTTTGTCAGATGGATTCTAGGTATCTATTTTTTTAATATTTATTTGTGTGTGAACCTCTAAATTGATCTCAAAGGAGGTAACAGATCTTTCTAGATTTCGATCTTGTAATTGAATCAATATCAATGATATTACACCTCCTTCTCGTTTGATCGAAGGGGAACCTTGGAGCAATGGTAAGGTTGTTTCCGTGTGTGACCTATAGGTTACGAGTTTGAGTCATGGAAGTAGTCACTAACACTTGCATTAGGGTAGACTGTCTACATCACCCACTTCAGGTACAGCTCTTCCTCGGACCTTGCGTAAACGCGGGATGCTTAGTGCACCGGGCTGCCCTACTCGTTTGATCGTCTTTAATAAACTATAGTCTAATATGTATGTAAAAGGACAACTATGTTAACATAATTAACATGCTACGTCTATACTATGTGGTATGCATGGAGTGAAGGAAAACAAATTAAGTTGGTCCATACCGCGCGGGTGTCGGTAGCAACAGCAGTGACAACAAAAAGGAGATTGAATGTGATGAGGAATTCGAGAGCAAAAGCCTGGCCAGTGTTTACAGAAGGAACAGTAACGCCACCAGACATGAAAGGATGAAAAACACCCTTGAGAGCAAAAGAAGCACAAACTGATGCTGAAACCTGCGCTGCAACATAGGCCGGCACTTGAACCCACGGAAAATGACGAAGTGCTGCAAATGCAATGGTGAGCGACGGATTAAGATGTGCTCCAGAAATATGGCCCGTCGACAGAATCACGATCATAACGGCCAGCCCAGAGCAAGCTGCATTTCCGATTAGAGATTCGGCTCCGTTGTACTTTTGGTTCACAATTGGCCCGGCTGTTGCAGCAAATATAAGGATAAATGTTCCCACGAACTCTGCTCCCAACTGTATCAACACAGACGTTTTTACACTTTAGGGTATGACAATTAGTTTTATAACAACAACAACAACAACAACCCAGTATAATCTCACTTAGTGGGGTCTGGGGAGGGTAGTGTGTACGCAGACCTTACCCCTACTCTGGGGTAGAGAGGCTGTTTCCAAATAGACCCTCGGCATCCTTCCCTCCAAGAACTTCTCACCTTGCTCTTGGGTAGACTGGAACTCACAACCTCTTGGTTGGAAGTGGACGTTGGAAGTATGACAATTAGTTCTATAAATGCAACAAAATAACAATGAAGGACTTATATTTTAGAATTCAGAACTTGCAAGTTGAACTACTAAAACAGTGACCATCGGTTTGTAATCTATTGGCACCACAAAAACCTACTAAATTTTAGAATTCAGATTGAAATTTCCACTTTCTTGAGAAGAATCTTGCATGCGCTCAATTAGGGCAATACAAACCGAACCAAAAAACGGCATCAAATCGAAAAGTCAAACCAACCCGATTAAAAAACCCGATTAGGTTTAGTTTGGTATTGCGTAAAAAAATTCGAACCAAACTGACATATAAATATATAATCTTTATATATACTTTTAAGATTTTATATAGAATTAATTTCTTTAAAAAAATATCTAGAAATATTTGAGATTCTCTTGCGGGATATAATATTTAATAAAATATGAAGTGCTTCATATTTATTAACCTTATATAATATGTTGTATGATCGCGTTCTTATCAAGTGTTACTGAAATGTGTGAATCTCTTTGTTCTTCCATAATCATACGTCAAGATCTATTAAATTCTTATATCTTTTTTGAATTTGAAGTGGTTATTATTATTTAGGTATCATATTGATTTTTATGTTTAATTATTAAATTCGGTTAACCTTGAAAGTGTACATCAACAAAAAATTATTGTCATACGACTAAAATAATAACTATCATGTGTTACTAAGTAAATTCTTCCGTAAGAATATTTAATAGATAATATGTTTATCAATTTTTTAATTTTTACTAAACATATATTTACTAATCAAAAATTTAACAAAATAAGATTGAAATAATATTTAAGTAACAAAAAACCCGAAAAACCCGCCAAAACCGAACCACTAGTAGTTGGTTTGGTTCTGTATGTATACCCCTACTCTCAATATAAAAAGGGAAAGAAAAAAAAAAAAAGAGGAGAAGAACGGACACATGAAAGCGATGTTTAATGTGCTGTAAATCAAATTCCCAATTAAGACTTTGACTGAATAAAGTAATTTTTTACTTAAGACTATAGCACATTTCATACCCGTGAGAGATGAGTTTGTCCTTTAAGTTTTCCTCGTTTTATTCGCTTATTTTTGTACTTAAATATTATATAGTCTTTCACCACAAAAGGAGTATTGGTAACTAGAAAAAAACGAGTCTTGATATGCATTTTTGAGTTTAACAAAAGGATATTAATCTGAGTTTAATAAATTTATCTTGTGACATAATCATGCTTCTAATGGTTTATTAAGTACCCAATGATCTACCTAACTCCCTAATTTTTCTAACCAAAACTTATTATTAGCCAGGTATTCTAAGTGGACCAACAATTAAATTAATGAAAATCTAAAAGCATAGCCAAAAAAATAATAATCAATATCACTAGAATTGATCTTAAAAAGAGATGCAAATATCTTAAAGAAAAATATAATATGACAACATTCTAGCAATTGAGATACTGGGCAAAAGCAGGTACAATTGACACAACCATTGGACCTTGACATATGAAATGTCAAATGCAAATTAATTGCGTGCACAGATAGTCGTTTCCAGTGATATTATTTAGAAATTAGCCCGTAATTATTTTATCGTAAAAATTTTAAATTAAAAATTTCAATTGCAGCATAATTCAGAATATTTTTTAGAGTGTGTACCTTGCGAGTGAGGGAGACATCTGGTGCGGGGAAGTCGGAAAGACACGTGTGAGGAGTGCCCCATGTTGGAGCATCCAAAGGCAAGCACTTGCATCGGGGCATTGACTTTCGATCATAATTAGACCCCATTGAGTCCACTCGAATCGACGAGAATAGCGGCGTTGGTGTCCCCGGCGTTGCCGGCGCCGATACTGGTGATTCAAATTCCGGCATCTCCGATCCTTTTCCTTTCTTTTTTTTTTTTGGTTTTTTTTTTTTTTTTTTTTTTTTTTTTTTTTTTTTTTTTTTTTTTTTTGGTTTTTTGGAAAGAGAGATAAGCTAGGTTTCTTTCAATGGAGAAGTATTACATGATTTTTTGGCTTTTTTAAATGTTTAGCTACACGATATTCAGTTTAACAGCCAGATCGTTTGATCCTCAGAATAATCAGAATCCGGCAGCAAACATAACAAATGGAAAAAAAAGTTTTTTTTTTATTTTCTTTTTTGTGGTGGGAACAAGAAGCTAGGAGAAAAAAGTTACATGCTTTATAGGTTTTTATAATTGTGCCACTAAGGAATACAAGAACTGAAGCTATCCAGCTTAACTATATATGCACTAATTAAGATGATGGCGAAACCTTGAGCATATATAGGATCTGAATTACAGTACAAAACAAGAAACCAGTACGATGACTAACTCAGACTGCTTAATGAATAAATTGAAGAGGATCCAACTTTTGATAGTAACAGACAAAAAAGATAAAGAAGAAGAAGAAATAGATTAACGAAACAGTGGAAACAAGAACCAGAAATGATTTTAGGCAAGGACAGGCAGTGGGTTATATGTTTTGGGTAATGGCATATGTAATCTACGACATATTATATACACACACTGCTTTAGACAAGAGGGGTTGCCATGATGGTAAGCAACCCCACTTCCAATTGAGAGGTTGTGAGTTCGAGTCTCCCCAAGAGCAAGGTAGGAAGTTCTTGGAGGGAAGGATGCCGGGGGTCTATTTGGAAACAGTCTCGAGCAAGGTGGGAAGTTCTTAGAGGGAAGGATGCCGGGGTCTATTTGAAAACAGTCTCTCTACCCTTAGCTATAAAGTAAATAAATTACTCCTACAGTAGTAAAAGGAAGCCGACAATCTTATGACAGAGACAAGAAGAGAGAGATAGAAAAGTCAATGCTTACATTGCTAAACTGACAGGGCGGTATGATAAATAAGTATAACAGCAAAGACTATCAACACTTTTTCTCCTTAATTATTATTACTTTTTTTTTTTTTCGCACAATACTTTCTCTCCTTATTCGATTATACTACTACTTAAAGAATAGATGAGAAGAGAAGTTTTGCTGGTATTAATTATATTGAGATTATTTTTTATTGACCATTTGATATATTGTAGTAATTTGTGATTGTAAATTTTAATGTTTGAGATTAGTTATTTTGAGGTTATTTTTTATTGATCATTTGATATATTGTATTAATCTTGTGACTGTAAATTTTAATGTTTGAGATTAGTTATTTTGAGATTATTTTTTATTGACCATTTGATATATCGTATTAATCTTGTGATTGTAAATTTTAATGTTTATTTTGGGTTTATTATTCCATAATCTGATAGGTATAAATTATCCTGCTATTATTTTTAATTTTGAGATAACTTATCTGATGATTAGTAACCAAACAAGGAATAAGATCGTACTAAATTTTTTGTGCCAAAATTATTTTTGTTTATCCATTATACCAAACGACCCGTAGAACCCGTTTGGACATAAGAATTTTTTCACTTTTTTTGAAAAAATTTCGTTTTTTTTAAATTAGTGTTTGGTCATTAAATTTTCAATTTTCACTTGAAGATAAATTATTTTTCGAAAATTTAAAAAACTCCAAAAAGTTGTTTTCCAAAATTTTCACTCAGATCACTCACAAAACTTCAAAAACAACCTAGAATTATATTAATGTCCGAACACAACTCTAATTTTCAAATATCAATTTTCACTTGAAAAAAATTTCACTTTTTTCGACTTTTATCATTCTTATGGTTCAAACGCCCACTTAGGGGTCGTTTCGCAAGAGGTATTAGAAGAAATATTGCAAGCATTAGCTCTTTGCATTACTAATACCTTGTTTGGTACATTTTTTTAATATATGTATAACTAATATATATCATACTTAGTATTATACTATGTATAAATAATACATAGAAAATCATAACATTAGTAATGCAAGGGTTTTTAATACTTGTATAAACATGATTAAAGACCTCCCCCCAAATCCCTAAAAACCTAATCTCAAATACTTTCCCCATATTTTTAGCAAACAGACTTCTTCTTCATTTTCCTCTTCAGAGATCAAAGTCAAATGTTCACAGGTAAAAAGATTTTCAGTGTCCCCCCCTCCCCCCAAACTTTTTGAACCACTATTTCACAAGTTGGGTACAGTTCGTTCTCTACTAAATAACATAGTATCAATTTTATATGTATTCATTCTTTTCTCATTGTTGTATGAATTTCTTATTCTGTTATTTATGTAGTAAATTTTATAGCTAGAATTAAAAATTGTGGAGGGTATTTTGTTAAACACTCAATTTTTTAAAAGTTAGGTATTGCTTTAATACACCAAATCAAATATTGGATAAGAAATAATGTCAGTATAACTAATGTCAACATAACTAATATCAGCACTACTAATACCAGAATTACTAATACACTCTATTCAACACTATTCTTGTACCTTCTACCAAACGACCCCTTAGTCTATTACCCCCACGATGAATTATTCTCATACGGTAATAATTTCCTACTATTAATAAGAGGGAGTTTGAGGAGCTTGGGGTCAACATGTATGCTTCACCTGTTAGCTTGAAGGGATTTTTTTTTTGAAATTTCACCGTTTACTGCTTTTTGAAGCTGTCACTTCCTCATCTTGACCCCTTTTTATGGGTTTGGCTATTGCTCCACTTCTTTGTATTTTAATTTGCCGTATAAAATTTTAACTTTTTTCAGTAGAATTAATAGGAAAATGATGATTTAGTTGGAACTGAAAGACTATTAAGATTTTTTTTAAAAGTACTATAAAATTAAACGCTACACCTTTACTTGAGGATCAAAATGAATTGATTTTAAATTTTTTAATTTTTAAATGATAAATGAAAATGTTAAAATTATACGAGGTAGTCAAATAAATTTGTCTGTTAATATCCTGATTTATATATATATTTTTTTATTCCGTTTTGTATTTT